GCTACCTCGGAGTCTCGGTGGACTGAAGGCTGGCTCCCGAGCTATTGCTGCTGTTCGGGGCCTGGATGTGTGCAAAAGAGCACACAGTGTAGTATCAGCACAACCGACCCCATGTGCTGGTAAGTGCCTAGCCTAACCTCACTGAAGTAGTGACGAGGCTAGGACCAGACTACCAAATAAACCTGTGCAGTTATGTAATGTACAGCGGAAAGTAAAGTAGGAATAAACAAGTAAGGATGGGAGGGGGAAACATGTTGCGGGGAGATAACAGTTGAAACAGAATCTCAAGAGAATTATCAGGAAACCAAAATTCAACTTCTAACAAGGATAAGGAAAACAAAGGCAGGTTTCACTCTCGGTTCACAACTCGTTGCAAGCGTGCAACCCGATCCCATTTTATTATATCTCGTGGTAGGCGTAAATCTCGTGGTAGGCGTACCACCCACTCCCATTTCATTAAATCAACAGTTCTTCCAAATGAAATTTACTCCAACAAACGCAACAATTAATACGAATTCATAAGACAACAAGTACACAATGATTGTGAATCACTGAGGAAAACAAGTAATGACAAGTAGCAATTAATTATGGACTTTAAGGAACAATTAGGCAATTTAATATTTAGTATGCTAAATGTCAAGTAGCAATTAAGTCACATAAACATGTAGCAATTATAGCATAAATTCAAGGCATAATGTTGCGCAAGGATACCTCGAGCCAATAATAACAAGTAACACAATAAAGGAAAATGCCAACATAAAGAATCATAGTAATAGTGGAATAAGACAATTAATGCACTTGAACCGATAACAACAAGAAAATCAGTAAATAAAAGTAAAGGACAACATAACTCAATTATCAGCAAGAATCAGGAAAATCAAAGATAAGTGCACGACATCACCCTTCGTGCTTTTACTCTCGTCCTCACCAAGCAATAATATAATGAAAACGTGCACGGCATCACCCTTCGTGCTTTTACTCTCTTTCCTCACCAAAGCAATTAGAATAATAAAATGTGCACGGCATCACCCTTCGTGCTTTTACTCTCTTTCCTCACATATAATCAATAGATTTGGCACGGAATGGTACATCGTGCGGCACGACATCACCTTTCGTACTTTACACTCTTTCCTCACAATAGCAAACAATGCACGGCATCACCCTTCGTGCTTTAACACTCTTCCTCACCCAAACAACAATCACAAACAAGGGCAAGGGAAATAAACAAGAACCTATAGGAATCCCGGCAAAGGAACAATGATTTGACAATTAAATCCCAGCAAGGGAGCAACAAGTAAATAATTAAATCCCGAAAAGGGAACAACAATTAAATAATTAAATCCCGGCAAGGGAACATTTCAATAACTCTTTCTCTATCTTTCACTTGTACTTCATAACTCACTTTACCACTTGAGCCAATGCTCCAAGGGTTCAATCATCTCGTATACTTTCACAATTCATAATATAACTCGAGCCAATGCTCCAAAATGTTCAAAGGTATCAATTCCTTCCACAAACTTTTCACAACAACTAGATATCATCACCAAAGCATGAAGAATAAATGAAATCATGAAAATCACAATATAAGACTCACGGTCATACTTGAAACCAACGTATAGATACTCGTCACCATGCCTATACGTCGTACTCAACAATTATCACATAGCAAATAGGACTCAACTCCTAATCCCTCAAGCTAAGGTTAGACCAAACACTTACCCCGATGCCTTGAACACAACTCAAGTCTCAATTATAGCTTTACCCCTTGATTCCACCGCTAATTCGCTCGTATCTAATCACAAATTACTTAATTACATCAATAAGTGCTAAATGAATCAACCCCAATGCATGAAAATGAGTTTTCCAAAGTTTTACCCAAAAAGTCAAAAATTGCCCCTGGGCCCACGTGGTCAAAACCCGAGGTTCCAACCAAAACCCGATTACCCATTCCCCCACGAACTCAAATATATAATTTGTTTTGAAATCGGACCTCAAACTGAGGTCCAAATCTCCAATTTTTGAAAAACCTAGGTTTTACCCAGAACACCCAATTTCCCCCATGAAAATCTTTGATTTTTGGTTGAAATCATGTTAAAAGATGTTAATGATTGAAAGAAATGAGTAAAAACTAACTTACAATTGATTTGGAAGAAGACTTGTTCTTGGAAAATCGCCTAAGTGTGTTTGGGTTTGAGAAAATATGAAAAATGGGGTTCAAAATCGTTTAAGTGTAAAATTGCAGGTCTCTGATATGGGAAATGCGAACAGGGGTTCGCAATTGCAAACCCCGACCTGCTGATGTGGGAATTGCAAAGATAGGGTTCGCATTTGCGAACCCTTGAGAAATACTAGACCTTCACATTTGCAACATGAAGGCCGCATTTGCGACATCAGGGTAATCGCATTTGCGATGACAATCCTCACATTTGCGAGAAGGGCTGGCCTGGGCCAACTTCGCAATTGCGAAAGGCCGCTCGCATTTGCGATATCGCATTTGCGAGCCAGGCTTCGCAAATGCGAAGCCTGCAGGCCTGCTATGCTCATCTGTAGTTTCTGCAATTTTTCTTAAGTTCAAACCTTCCCGAATCACATCCGAAACACACCCGAGCCCTCGGGGCTCCTAACCAAACACACGTACTAACTCAATAACATCATACAGACTTATTCATGCGATCAAATCGCCAAAATAACATCATTATCAACAAATTAAACCTCAAAATCAAAGCATTTTTCTCAAACTTCATCAAGTATTAAATTTAGCAATTTAAGTCCGAATCACGTCAAACGACGTCCGTTTTTCACCAAATTTTACAGAAACATCTTAAATCATACATAAGACCTGTACCGAGCGCCGGAACAAAAATACGGGCCCGATACCAACACGTTTTAATCAAATTTCACTAAATAATTTCCTTTAAAAATTTATTTCTCGGGCTCGGGACTTCGGAATTCGATTCCGGGCATACGCCCAAGTCCCATATTTTTCTATGGACCCTCCGGGACCGTCAAATCACGGGTCCGGGTCCGTTTATCCAAAACGTTGACCAAGGTCAAATTTATTCATTTTAACATCAAAACTTAGCATTTTTCACAGAATTTCATATTTAAGCTTTTCGGCTACGCGCCCGGACTGCGCACGCAAATCGAGGCAACTCTAAATGAGGTTTTCAAGGCCTCGGAGTCATAGAATTTAAATAAAAGCAGGTGATGACCCTTTGGGTCGCCACATTAAACGGCCTAATGGAGTGAGAATATACCATACTAAGGCAAAATACATTGACAGACCCTTAAACTTGTCCGCATTTTTCGCTCTGACACTTCATCTTAAGTATGTTTCATATGAACACTTTAACCAGGCATTTACTGTGTCATTTAGTCACCTCTAGCTGATAGGTATTTGCGCGTATTTCACACTTCTTTTAAGAGTGTGAACTGAATATTTAAGGCATTGAAGTGGGCCCGAAGTACAGGTGGCAAAAAAAGAAAAGAAAAATTTGAAAGTCTTTTAAAAATTCTCTTCTTTGTTCATCCTATCTTTGTTCTTCATGAAAGGACTTGGTGAGAAATTCCTCGAACTAATGCTTTTTATTCCTTCTTAAGACAAAAAAATAGCACATCATCGTTAGTCTCTTGATCGTCAAAATATATAGGAGTCCATAACAATGGAACAACGCCAGCTTTAAAAAAACCAGAAGTAGAACATTTATTGATACAAATTAAGTAGATATGCAGCAACGATGATTTTCTTTTTGGTAGAATCTCACAAGAAATCCACCTAAATCCCAAAAATTCAGGAACTCCCCGCCTCAGCCCACCCCTAAATCCCGTAAACCCAAAAACACCCAAGCGCTAGTCCACCAAATTAAGAAACCCCAGAAGTTACTCTTGATGAAAAATACCAAAAGAATCACAGAAGTGGGCTATAAGGTCTTTCGCGCATAGGATTTTGAGATGGATCTGAAAGAATTATGCGTGTGATACATTTGAGATTGGAATTATTGAGCAAGATTCTAAATTTTGGGCGTTGAGGATATTATTCTAGCTTGATTTAATTTATAGTGGTATAGCAGTTGTGAATGAGAGAATATAAATTGGATAATTTTTTTGAATCTATTAATTTTTGGTGTCTAAAAGATGTGGCACTGTGAAGCAAATAAAAATTCAGCAAAAAATCTATTAAATTCTACATTACTTTTTTGTTGTTAAACAAAGGGCTTGCAATAACAATTATTTTGAATATGTTAGAGTCTTAGATGTGGTTGTGAAAGGGCACCGATGGTGATATGATGGTGGCTGACCAAACAATACCAAGACGACGGGTAGGGGAGAGATAGAAAAAGGACTCTTTTCTATATTTTTAGGATTTAAAGTTAGTTTTATACTTTAATGGATTATCGAGATTAAAGGCCACATGTCATTTTTTTTTTGACTTGTTTGCTACATCATCGTGTGTGAAATGCACGCATTTTAACTTTGTTAGTTGTTTGTAAAAGAGGTGTCTAAATGACACAGTAATAACATGGTTAAAGTGTTCAAATAGAACAATATTAAAATGGAGTGTTGGAGTAAAAAATGTGAACAAATTTAAGGGTTTGTCGATGTATTTTGCCCCATACTAACTATGGTTAAGTGACTTGTATGTGCAAACACATCCCATGCATCTATTATTTGATGTAAACATTCAGTAAGTTTTTACAGTATAGTAATTTTTTATTAAACGAGTATTTTTTTTTAAATATATGGGCGCTTATTTCGTGATGAAGAAGGAGAAAAACCGAAGGATAAGAAGGTGCAAGAAAGGGTAACTTAAAGTAAAGAAACAGATGGAGTTGGCATTGTCAAATGCCTTAAAACAAACCAACTTTTTCTGAAACTTAGGAAAGTTGATTGTCTGTCAATCCCTTAATAGATAATCTCATTCATTTCTTCTCCTCTTCCACTAACCCTATTAGTATTATATACTTAGATTCACCTCAAGAAAAATTAACTACAAGAGAAAAGGAAAAAATGGGGAGAGGAAAGATAGAGATCAAAAGAATAGAGAACTCAAGCAACAGGCAAGTGACTTACTCAAAAAGAAGAAATGGGATCTTGAAAAAAGCTAAGGAAATTAGTGTTCTTTGTGATGCTCGTGTTTCTGTCATCATTTTTGCTAGTTCTGGCAAGATGCATGAGTTCTCCTCTACTTCGTATGTTCTCTTAATTAATTAATTATCGTCCTTCCTTATTTAATTTAATTTTTCATCATCAGATTCAGCTTCTTTTTCCTCTAAATAATTTTTGAAGGTTAGTTGATATTTTGGATCAATACCACAAGCTTACTGGAAGAAGATTGTGGGATGCTAAGCATGAGGTAAAAATAAACCCTTAAAAATTTAGAAAAAGAAAATAAATTGGAGAAACATGTGTTTTTTGCTAAAACAACGTTAGCTCACTTGAAACATGAAATCTTTGAACAGATGTAGAAAAAGAAAGTTGTTTTTTCCTATTTGGCTTCTTTTTTGAGGAAAAAAAATGAAGGGAGTAGGGTTTTATCCTTTGACATGCAAGATCTCATCTTTTAACTGGTTTTTGAGACATCCCTTTTGGGAAAAAGGGTTGATTTTGTTGCTAGAAATATGTTAGGTATACTGAAACATGAATTCTATGAACAGATCTAAATATAGGTATATGTACTTCCTATAGCTATAACCCTAATCAAAATTCTTTAAAGGAGGATGGTTTTATTCTTCTGGTCAAGAAACAGATCTAGTAAAGAAAATGAAGTCTTAACCCTTCCTTTTGTTTGCAAGTCTTTTCATACATAGTTTTTAGCACCCCTAAATTAAAAGTGAAAGCTATATGGTTGAATTTATGTGCCTATGACACATCAATATTGATAGATTAACTTCCTCTCCTATGACCTGATTTCACTGTTTTTATTTTATTTTATTTTTGAGTTCTTAAGTTTTGATAAATTGCTTCCTGGATTGAAAACAGAACTTGGACAATGAAATCAACAAAGTCAAGAAAGACAATGACAACATGCAAATTGAACTCAGGTAAAAGTTAACTCCATTTGTATGGCTTCTCTCTTCACCTCCACTCCTCCCACCCATCCTAGATGCAGATTCATTAATTTAAATTTGATGGATTTAAAATATTAATATTCTTAGCATTGAACATATTATACTTCTAAAATTATAGCTGGTTCAAAATTTAATATTTGTTAAGACATTAATTATTTTTACATATATTCTATGTAAAAGAATACTTGAATCGGCCATTAAAAATAATTGTATCCGCCTCTACCCCGACCAACCAACCAACTACCCCCCCCCCCCCTCCCCCCCCAAATTTAAAAAGTATGTACCCTTGGAATAGTCGAGGTGAGCTAAGGTGGCCGGAACAACACCATCATAAAAGGAATAAGAAAAGTATGAAAGAATGTTGAAACAATAAAAGAAAGAACTTTGTATTAATGTTTTTCTATGTTGATTTGTTTCAGGCACCTAAAGGGTGAAGACATCACATCTTTGAACCATAGAGAGCTCATGATGTTGGAAGATGCCCTTGATAATGGACTCACTAGCATCCGTAACAAGCAGGTACAATTTCCTCCATTAATATTTTGTAATTAATTATGTGCTATTAGACTTAATCCAGAATTTGATGGTATTCTTGTTTATCACCTTTTGATATAGAATGAGCTTCTGAGAATGATGAGGAAAAAGGTATGTCCAACACCAATGTGCCTATTTTCTGTTCCAACTTTCCTTTTTTTTTTTTTTTTTTTTAATGTGTGCTTACTCTTTCAATTATATGTGTTGTTTATTTTCATTAATTTTTTAACCTACTGTGGTCTTTGGATGGATATTACTCAGGCTCAAAGTATGGAGGAGGAGCAAGAGCAACTTAATTGCCAATTGGTATGTTACTTAATCATATTTAACTAAATAAAAATTTATTGCTTTATATTTTGATGTTTCAATCGACATCAGAAAAGAGAAACGGAAACAACTGCATAATTGGGAGGCACAGTGTGACTTTTAAATCCTGAAAACTCTTTAAAGATAATGAATTAACATATATATCAGTGGTAAACATTTTTAGCAAAAATTAGATAGCTAATAATATCGTTTTTAACAATTTATAAAACTGAAAAGAATGTTAATGTCATTTCTCAAGAACCCTTAGTAAGCTAACTTTTGATGCAAAAAGAGTTCAGAATGATTTTGAATGCAAAAAGTATTGACGTTTAAATTAATGGGTTTGGTGATTAAATTTTTACTAATTGAATTTTTTTTCACTAATGACAGCGGCAACTAGAGATAGCGAGCATGAATAGGAATATGGGAGAAATAGGGGAAGTGTTTCAGCAAAGGGAGAATGAATACCAAACTCAGATGCCTTTTGCCTTCCGAGTTCAGCCAATGCAGCCTAATTTGCAGGAGAGGTTCTAAAAGACCTTTGATTTATTTGGTGAATTATCACCTTTTATTAATGTTGTGCTATCAAAAAATTTGGTGTGTAATTTCATCTACCTTATGGTTTAAGTGACATTAATTATCTATCTATAACCATTAGCTTATGGTTTAATTGTTTTTATCAATTTGGAAAGAATTAAGTCTCACTTGTATTATGCAAGTGTGTACGATAAGATAGAAAAGAACTATAATTGTTCCACTGCATTTAATAATCCATAATATGCTACAGATAACAACACATAGTGTAATTCTATGGAAAGAACAAAATTTTAAGAATTCAAAGGTTGTAGGTCAGTTAATTACTGTCAGAAGTTTATGTCCCTTATAGAGTACCTTATCAGTAGTGTACTATCCAGAGTTAGAAGTTTTTTTTTAGAAGAAGAGTGATCTTATTAATCAATCATGAGTACAATAAGAAGTGTCCGGCCACATTTCGAGTAGATCTTGAAGAAAGTCTCTTGACCACTTTAACTTTGAGAAGGATATTATTTAACTATTTTATGATATTTTCGAGATAATCTCTTTATGAATATCCCAAGAGTTTATGGGATTTTTGAAATTCAATAATTGGGCGCACTTTGAAGCATAAAAGTTAGATTTCTTACACCTGTATTCATAAACTATTTAGTTTTAGGCAAATATTATATTGATTGAGCTGTAATACTTAGGATCAAATTCATTTTAAGGTGCTAATTAACTTTGAGCTCTATGTTGCAGAATTTATATAATTAATCCTTAAAATATTATATGTAATTAAAAAGGAAGGGAAAATAACATTGTATAGTCACTGTCAAAATAATAGCCAAATATATATATATATTTCAGCTACTGAATGTAAATAATTTCTGGCACGGGTCAAAAATGATAATACCCCTTAAAGGGAAACGAAAAGGATATTTCCATTGTGGATACTTCGATACAAATTGCGTGAAACAAAATATTCGAACCTATAGATCATCAATTCATTTTTAGGGTTGAGTTCTAAGTGAAAACATTCAAATCGTTAATGGGACTAATCCTTCATCCACTTGCAACGATGGATGTCTTCCATAACAGGTTTTGGATTTGTTATGTATTCATAACAAGTTTTAGATTGGTTATGTATTCATAACAGGTTTTGAATTGATTTTGTAACAACACATATTTACATAAATAGGTTCACTGATGAACCTATTCCATACAGTTGAAAACAGAAGAAATCCTCTCTTCTAATATTATTATTCCCTTCTAATGTTGTAGTTAATTATATAGTTCTTGCTATGCTTTTATTTCATAACACGTTATTAGCACGAGACTCTAATAATTTCCATTACCACCACGCGTGGGTTTTATTTTCATATCCTCTTTCAGGTATTGTATTACATACCTTGTGCTAACTCGAAGTTATTTTAGCTGTCGTAGACCACTTAAATATGGGTTGAGTTATACTATTATATCTAACTAGTTTTATTCAAGTATAACAAAATGGTTTAGTCTTAAAAAAAAGGATAGTTTCTAGAAACTTTACTATTTAATTTTATATACACTCTTGGTTTTCTATTTGGCAAAGGGAAAAGCATTACGTGTCTTTTAGCTCTATCATAAATTAAAAGGTAACGATTATTATGTTTTGTCCATACAACTAAATGCATAAAACATTACAAAACTTCACATCTTTTGTCTGGGTAATTATGTAGTAGAAGATCATATTTAGAATCATAAATTCTAAAGATAGCGCTTAATTTCGACTAGTAAGCGTGTTAATATATTTGGTATGTCCTTATATAATTCTATAATAGTTTGTTCTGATTTTTATTCCTTAAAGTTTTTTCATTTATTTAGTTTTATTGTTATCACTAACTATTGATTCTTATTGATAGTTTTATTATGTCGAATTTATCAAAGCTCGGCACTTGATATTTTTGGAAAGTATTATTTATCATGGTCCTTGATGTTGAAATTTACCTTGCTGCAAAAGCTCTTGAAAATACTATTATACAAGGAAATGAAGCATCAGGCCAGGATAAGGCAAAGGCTATGATTTTCCTTCGTCATCATCTCGATGAAGGATTAAAAACTGAATACTTAACCTTGAAAGATCCATTTGAGTTATGAAACAGTTTGGAGGAACGATATGACCATCTTAAGGCAACAGTATTTCCAACAGCTCTGTATGAATGGATTCGCTTACGATTACAAGATTTTAAAATAATAAGTAAATATAATTCTGTTGTATTCAGGATAACTTCCCAGCTTAAATTATGTGGGGAAACTGTATATGTTGATGACTTATTAGAAAAGGCTCTTTCTACTTTTCATGCCTCAAATATGATATTGCAGCAGCAATATCGTGAAAAGGGTTTAAAGAAATATTCTGAATTAATCTCTTGCATCCTGGTGGCTGAGCAATATAATACCCTTTTAATAAAAAATCATGAAATCCATCCCACTGGATCTGCACCATTTCCCGAAGTGAATATGGTAGCAGCGGATCAAAAGTATGAAAGAAGACAAAATAATTATCGTGGCCGTGGCCATGGTCGTGGACATGGACGTGGACATGGAAGGGGACGAAATAATTATCGTCATCATCGTGGGAATAAACAAAATAATAATAATAATAAGGATCCTCAAAATAATCCTTTAAAAGGTAGAGTTAATATTTGCTACCGATGTGGTATGAAAGGTCATTGGGCACGTGTTTGTCGTACACCTAACCATTTTATCAAACTATATCAAGCCTCCATTAAAAGAAAAGAGAACAATGTGGAGGCAAACTTGATTTTTCAAAATAATAATGATGAAGCAGGTCCCTCAATCAAATATGATAATGTTGAGACAAATCTTGCATATAAAGATGATGATTTTGGAGGCCTTGCAAATACTACTCATTTAGAAGTTGGAGACTTCTTTAAGGATATTGAATGAAGAAGTAATTATCTTACTGGGGAATAAAACTTTAAGAAAAGTTGTTATTTTCAAATTATGTCTGTCGGTAGTTTGTTCTTCTTAGGCCTTATTTGTTTGCACTTAATGGAGATCTGAATCTTAATCATTCAGATCTCTGACATTAAGTGCGTTTATTTTTAAAGTCTGAATCTTAATTATGCAGATCTTAATCATTAAGTGTGTTTTTTTTACTTCACAACCACTTAATGGGTCTGAATAGGTCTGTATGATTAAGATCTATAGTAGAGACTTAATTTCATTACTATGCTATTACATATTCATTATTAACTGCCGCTACCGCCTACCATTATCAACTACCACCATGCCACCGCACCACCATACTCAACCACCACCACCTTCGCCACCACCACGCTACCATCATCCTCAATCATAGCCGCCACAATTATCGACCATCACCACCCACTATCCCCACCACTCCGACCACCATCATTCTCACCCACAATCAATACTCATCCACCTCAACTACCATAACTGACCACCCCATCATCATCAACAACCACAGCAAGCACTGCCCATCATTAAAACCTACCACCACCCGCCCACCACCTTCCTCAATCACAACTACTGCCATCACCCCTATTATTAACTATCACCACCCACCACCATCATCCTCAATTATAATCGCCACCACTACCAATCACTACTAGCTACTAGCATGAACCACCACCATCAACAAAAATTACCACCAACCACCGCTTCTAGTTGCATTCGCCCGTTAGCCATCAAGTAGCGACCCGGCCGGTCGTTTCGAAAGTTATAGCCACGTTCCCTTATTTCCTGCTCCTTTTGTATTTTCAGTTGTATTTTGACTTACCGGGTTAGTTGGTTCGGGTCCGGTGAGGTTTTGGAGTGAATTGAGACACTTAGTCTCTTATGAGAAGGTTTAAGTTGGAAGAGTTGATCCGATGTTGACTTATGTGTGAATGACCTCAGATTTGAATTTTGATGGTTCTGTTAGCTCCGTTAGGTGATTTTGTACTTGGGAGCACGTCTGGAATGTGATTTGGAGGCCCGTGGTGGAATTAGTTGGCGAAAGATAGAATATTGGCGATTTTGGTCGACAGTGGAAATTTTGATATCGGGGTCGAAATGGAATTTCGGAAGTTGGAGTAGGTTCGTGGTTCATTTTTGACTTGTGTGCAAAATATGAGGTCATTTGGACGTGGTTAAGCGGGTTTCGGCATCGTTTGTGAAATTGGGAAGTTTAGAAGTTCTTAGGCTTGAATCCGAGTGTAATTTGGTGTTTTGATGTTTTTTTGGGTGATTCGAAGGTTTGACTAAGTTCGTATGTTGATATATGACTTGTTGGTATGTCTGGTTGAGGTCTCGAAGAGCTCGGGGTGATTCCGGATGGTTAACGGGGAGTTTGGAAATTGCAGCTAAAGCTGCTGCTGCCGGTGTTTCCGCACCTGCGGAGTGGGGACTACAGGTGCTGTCACACCTCCTTTTTCACCAAAAGGGTATATAAGGGAGTTTTTCCAATTGAAGTGACATTATTCGAAATGGGATTATTTATTTTATTTCAGAGTCGCCACTTGGGATAATTTATTATGGTGTCCCAAGTCACTGGTTTATTTTAAATCCCAAATCGAGGAAAATCGACTTTATTTAAAAGTCTGCGAAATCAAAAATTCTAAGTAAGGAATTCTGTTAACCCGAGAGAAGGTATTAGGCATTCCCGGGTTCCGTAGTTCGAGCACGGTCGCTTAAACTATTAATAATTGGCCTAATTATCTGATTTACTACATATTTTAAACCTATTGTGCATTTTGAGCTTTATAACCGCTTTTAACTATTTATGGAATTATTCTGGAACAAGTTACGATTGTCGTACACTTGTTTGTTTGATACACATTGCGAATCGTGTCACGTGAACCGTACCCACGATCCACAACATGTTTAATTTATTAACATTATTAGAAGTTGTGGTCGGGTCACATAAATGTACCCCCGGATTTGGAAATTAGGTATCACAACTAGGTCACGGGAACCGTACCCGTAGCCATGATGATTTATTACAAACGCGCCTAAAGCAAACTACGAGTGTTCAAAGTATTTTCCACACTAGTTACAATATTGATGTGAGGGCCATGGGTTATGGATTTCATTTATGGATGGCACACCTCAATTTATTTCAAAGGGAAGTATTCAACTATTAGTAATTCATTAATTAAAACCGACATTCGTTAAGTTGGCGCCTAAAGCAGACTACGAATGTTCAAATTATTTCCTAAAACTACTTTGAGCTCATTGAGAAGGCTAAGGTTGAGGAAGTTGTTGGCTAGTAAATATAGAGATGACCATTATGAATAATCAAAGAGTTAGCACATTTGATTCCAATCGTTGCTTATACTTGTTCACATATACTGGTTCAATATCTCTTTGGAGCCTAAATGCTTGGGCAATATTTTAATTAGGCTAAGCAGTACAGTGTATAACGTTGGATTGTTAATCCATTTCTTCGAACAAATATCAATGGGTTAACTCTAAAGCCCAACGGCCTAGAGTGTCCAGACTGGTTTAAACAACCTCAACTGGGTCACTTTATCAGTCAGGCCCAAAGTCGACTTTGTCTCGATAACACAACTAACAAAACTCGAACATCATGCAATAAATTTATAGCCATGAAACTCGATATAACATGCTCAATTATACCTCTCTGCTCAAAATTGATTTTAAATAACAATCATCAACGCAAAAGCTGTTATCATCAAGTCATTAAATACTTCAAACTCATTATGAATTTACATAAGATCAGCTGATTTCCTAATGGTCATGTTATATTTATAGCACCTTGATACTAACTGGCAGTTATTACAGAATATCTTAACAACAATGTGAGAATTACACTTGATCTACTACACCAGAAATTGATTTTACAAAGAGAAAAATATCAACTAATTCTATTACAACTTCCATGTAATTGATAGCCTAGTGAATACTTGCCCTTTTTTAGATATGATTTATCCATCAAAAGCTTAATCCACCACATGAAACCACCAGTTTCAGCATGCTATCAACAGCAGAATCTCACTCTTTGACTTAGATCTTGCTGATTGGGCCAACTGGGGGCCAAATCCGCAGACTATGGCCATGTGACCAACAACAACACCCTTCAATATCCTCAAATTAATATCACCTCATTCAATCACATATGCAGAAAACTATAGAGGCCTTATATATAAAGCTAGAGCTGAAACTGCAAACTTTAACTATATTGACATCACCTTATTCATGCAACATAGATATCCCACTAGATTCCATGAATACAAACAACTCACACATTCATCTTTTTAAAAGAAAAATGTAAATGCTATAGTACCAAATAAGTTTGTTTCATTCATGGTCTAAACTTATGCTACATCATTTCACCTTAAAAATCAAATAGCTCTATTCTAATGAGATTTTCAGCAGTACAATCACAGTAATAGACTTAAATTCATCATGGCAGAAAGCAAAGAGTGGATGAATTTGATAATAAACAAGATAACCACACATCTTTGATGCACTAAATGTTAAACATAGGCAAAGCTTGAACAGATTACAACTTCAGTTTCTTATTTAAAAGAAGTTTCAGATTGTGATGTTACATACCTAACAGTAAGTGGACAGAAGAAAAGGACCAAATAAAGGCCTAAAAATCCAAAGAGAGAAGACCAGCTTCAGGAGCAACAACAAACAAAAGCACACCAGTAAAACCCAAGACCAAATGAAGCTCTAAAGCCAACTTCTTGCCAAATGAGAAAGGTTTTCTCAAATTTTCAGAAGAATTTTGAGTCTCAAAACCAGTCTTAAAATGAAAAGGATATTCTGAATCTCATAAGCTTTTTGTTTTTGCGAAAAAATTCTGTCCCTTGAATCAGTAAAGGTCTTTTTCTTTTATAGAGTGCGTAAAAACATCATCAAAAAGGCATATTCTGCCCTAAATTCCTAAAAGGTCAGATAGTACAACATCTTTTGACAGTCTTGGTACAACTGTTAGGAGAGCTGTCCTATCCAGATATTTACTCACCTTTTTTAATCCTTTTACTTCTGAAAATTTCCTCTTTTGGTCCCTATATTGACCTAAATTCTGATTTTAAAGAAAACCTTTAGTCCCCTCTAGAAGCTTCTGATATTTCACCTAAGTTCCTCTATTTTCAACTTCCCAATTGGTCCCTTTAAGTTCTGCTTAATACAAATAGACACCTTAATTTTTGATTCTGAACACCCTAAGTTTCCATGTTCCTTTAGACCCCCCTCAAGTTTCAATTCCGAACAAACACACTGACAGGAACAAATATTAATCAACCAAACACTTTAACAAGTTAATTGATAATTTATGCAATTGAACACACTAATTGAATCCGGCCAGGACAGAAAATCAAACCAGAATATTAATCTCATCATGTATTTAACTTAAATAACCTATTTTTAAATTGAACTAATCAAAATAAACAAACTAACTAGCGATAAAAGAACAGAAAGAAAATAGAAAAAAAAACAAAAAGAGAGAAAAGGAACATATACTGATTTGGCCGGAAATGCTTGAACAAACAAGGCAAATCAACGAACGATGATGCTTGACGAAGCTTGGCCGGTCAGTGCTGACTTGGCCGGAATCCGGTGAGCTTTGAAATGAGCCAAAAATGACACTAATTGATTGTTCTTACTGAGAACAATCGATTGGCATAAATTTTGGCTCAAATCGAGCCTTGAAACCATTAAAACTCAGAAAGATGAACGGATTAGGGTTTTATTTCTTTTGGAATCTCCGATTTGAAATTAAAACAAATGGGTGGGGATTTTGGGGAAATTGGTAGTAGGATAGTGATGAGGGGAGGCTGGGGATTGTAGGGTTAAATTTTGGGGTGGTTTAGAGTATCGTCGCTGCCGTGGGACGATTTCCGGCGGGTGGCTTGCGGCGGCAATTATAGAGACGAAGAAGGGGTCTGTGAGGTTTCTTTGGGGGTAGGGGG